CTAAAAAAAAATCAGTTTCCCAATCTATTTCAACTTCCCAATCCATTTTCAGGACAACTTCCTGAACTATTTCTACTCGATTTGCCGATCATTTGTTAAAATTAAATTTCCCGACAAACTTCCCCAAATTTCCCAATCTATTCCCGACCAAATCTCCCAATTGCCAGACCAACTTCCCGACCAACTTCCCGACCAACCCCCCCCCCAAGCCCGATCAATTTTATCAATTTCCCTCAAAAAATCCCGATCTATGTCTCGACCAATCCCCCCACCCCAAATCCCGCATCAATTCCGACCAACTTCCCGACCAATCCCCGCCCCACCCCCCCCCCCTCCCAAATCCCGATCAAATCCCCCCCACCCACCCCCAAAAAAAAAATCCGATCAATCGCCCCCCCCCCAAAAAAAAAAAATAAAAATAAAAAATAAAAAAAATAATAATAATCCCGATCAATTCCCGACCAAATTTCAGAGATCTGGGAATAAATAACTCCAGGAATCTGCCGACATCGCCCGACTCTCTCGTCCGACCGGACCGATTCTTGTCAGACCCCCGAAAAGATTAGAAAATGAGAGGAGAGAGAGAGAGAAGAGAGACGAGAGAGAGGGCGAGGAGGAGAGAGAAGGAGAGATATGAGACGAGAGAACGGAGAATTAGATGAAGAGAGAGAGAGAGACAGAGAAAGATCGAGAGAGAGAGATGAGACGAGAGAGACTTGAGAGAGACGAGAAAGAGAGACGAGAGAGATTGACGAGACGACAGAGTAAAAGGAGAGAGTAGAGAGGAGCGAGGAGAGCAGAGACGAGAGAGAGCGAGACGAGAGAGAGGATCCGAGAGAGAGAGGAGATCAGAGATCGGAGACGAGAGAGAAGGAGAGAAATTATGGACCGGATGGCCTCTTTTGTTCTGAAAACCTGCTTCAGTTTGATCATTACCTTCTGAAGTGAGGTGCATGTCCCTTTTAAGGAGGGGGGGGGGGGAGGGAAGGAGAGGGGGAGGAGAGAGGTGTGAGAGTGATGGGGGAGTGGGGGTGGTGAGGCGGGCGAGCAGGGAGGAGGGTGGAGATGGGTGGGGGTGGGGAGAGGTGGAGCGAGTGGATGGGGTCGCGGAGTGGGGAGTCGGTGGGTGAAGGGGTGAGGTGTGCGAGAGTGGGGAGGAGTGGTAGAGGTAACTAATTCTGGGAGGGAAGAGAGTGGTTGAAGGGTGGATGAGTGCGGGGAAGGGACGAGAGAGGGCAAGGGGGTTTAAAAAAGTGGGATAAGGAGAAGCGAGAGTGGGGTGGAGGGGAGAGGGGGAGGGGGAGAGAGTGGGAGTGGAGGGAGGAGAAGGCGAGAGGGAGAGGGGAGAGAGGTGAGGAGGGGAGGGAGAAGTTAAAGATGGGGAGTGGGTTGGCGTGGGAATTGGCGAGAGGAGCAGGGAGAGAGGTGAGGGGGGAGGGGGCTGAGGGAGAGAGGGCGTGAGGTGGAGTGGAGAGGGAAAGAAGAGAGGGAGAGAGTGGGTGGATGGAAGGGGGGAGGGTAGAGGCGAGAGGTGGCGGATGGGGGATGGTTATCTGATGGAGGAGAGGAGGATGGAGGGAAAGGAGGGTAGAGGGAAGGGAGGGAGAGAGGTGAAGGGGAGAGGGAGAGTGGGGTGAGGGTGGAGGGGATTGGGAGAGGAGAGGGGGGAAAGGGAGAGGAGAGAGAGGTGAAGAGGAGGGGGGAGAGGAGAGGAAGTGAGAGGGTGAAGTGGAGAGGGAAAGGGAGAGTGGGGGTGTGGAAAGGAGGGGTTAGGGTGGAGGCGGGGGGAGAGTTGGGACAATTAATAACAAACAAACAAAAAAAAAACAATGATGACAATGATAACAACAATAAAAGAAATGATAGCATTGATAATGATATAAGAACAATGATATTACAAATAATATTAATAACACACTACTACTCATAATGATGATAACAATAATAATCTCTCTCACTTTAAAATTTATTTCGGATATATAATCTAGATATTTATTTGCACTCATACACGCATATCATATATGAAAGTGTGTATATGTGTATGTGCGTCTATGTGTGTGTATTGTGTTGTGATATGTGTGTGGTGTGTGTGTGTGTGTGTGTATAAATTGTGTATACATATATATATGTGTGTGTGTGTTTGTGTGTATAAGTGTGTGTATGGTTGTGTGTGTGTGTGTGTGTGAATATGTGTGTGTGTGTTTGTGTATATATATATTTGTGTGTATATGAGAATGTGTGTGTATACGTGTGTGCATGAAAAAGAACCTTGACTTTTTTCTGCTTCCCAAGTTAGAAGCCATACTGTGAAAAAAGACATAACGGCCAAAAAAAAGTAAAAAAAAGTAAAAAAAAAAAAAAAAAAAAAAAAAAAAAAAAAAAAAAAAAAAAAAAAAAAGTAAAAAAAGTAAGAAAAATACATAAATAAAAAAAAAAAACTTCACCAGCAGGTAACGGGTTAAACTTACCAGATATGAAAACCGCCATTGTCTGGTATTTTGGGTAATTTGAACAGAAACCACAAATAGAAAGTGGTTAAAATAAGTGTGTTTTCTTTCGTGCAATGTTATTCCTTCTTTATTTCTTTTTTTTATTCTCTCATATGTTCTGAAATAGAAGCGGATAATTTGCGGTGCTTTTAATATGATAATCATTTCTTGTAATTACTTGCAAATGAAGGAATATTCAGGTTCGACGCACACGTAACACACACATACATACATACACACGCACACGCAGATGTAAAAAAGAATACATATATATATACATTTGCATAATATGTATATATATTACATATATATGCACATATGTGTGTGTGGGTACATATACATATATGTATTTTTATTTACATACATATATATATAATATATATATATATTATATATATTATATATATACAAACACACACATGTATTATATATATATATATATATATATATATATATATATATATGTGTGTGTGTGTGTGTGTGTGTGTGTGTGTGTGTGTGTGTGTGTGTGTGTGTGTGTGTGTGTGTGTGTGTGTGTGTGTGCATGTTATAAATCACACACACACACACACACACACACACACACACACACACACACACACACACACACACACACACACATATATATTGTATATATATATATATATATATATATATATATATTATATATATATATATATATATATATATATATGCATATATACATATATATAATATATATGATATATGTATGTATGTGTGTGTGTATGTGTGTGTGAAGTATAATTTTTACGATGAAAAAAAAAACAATAAGCCTGAATATCGTCTCTATTCATCTAATTACTATTCATTATACTTACCATTTTGCTTCAATAATCAATTCTCTCTGCTTACTTTAATATCACATTAACTCACCATTTACATATCCACCAACTTATCATAATTACTGCCTTGTTGGAGCTGATAATGATAACAATAAACATGATCTAAAAAAACAGCAATAAAATCGATACTGATAATAATAAAAGTAAGAACAATGATCAACATTTGATATCAATAATAGAGGTGATTATTAACAAATTATTAATGAGGATAGCAGTGATAATAAGAATACTTATTGCAGTTTATCATGAAAGACATTAAGAAAAAAACATGATAATGATGATAATGACAATTATAACTACAATATTAATAAGAGTAGTAGTAATGATACTAGGTATGATAATGATAATGATAATAATAGAAATAAATAATGATAATAATGATAATGATAATAATGATTAATAATAATGATGATGATGATCATGATAATAATAATAATAACAATAATGATAACGGTAATAACAATAATAATAATAATAATAATAATAATAATGATGATGATGATTGTGGTATTAATAACAATAATAAGACAACAATAAAAGTAATGATAGTGATATCAATAACAAAAACAACAATAATACAATCAATAACAATAAATGACAAATAATAACAATAAATAACATTAAGCAACATTAACAACCTCTCATCGCCAGTAATAACATAACAATCTATAACATCACAACAACTTGAACAGCAGTTAACAACCTCTCGTCTCCAGGAATAACAAATAATAACATCTCAAAAACAACGTAACAGTCAATGGCATCTGAATAACAATTTAACAACATGATATAATGTTAATAACCTGTCTCTATCGATCCTTGTATCAAAAAGCGAGCAATCTCCAGTGATTTTAATGGAACAGTCAATAACTTCGTAAATAGTATGATATAATGTTAAACTGCTTGTTTCCCTCCTGTCCAGTAATGGTCATTTAACAATCAGGAATATCACAATAGTATGATATGATATTAACAACCTCTCTCTCTATCTATCGCTCTCTCTTTCTTCTTCTCGCTACCTACTTATCTCTCTCTCTTTCTCTTTCTTTCTCTTTTCTCTCTCTCTCTCTCTTTCCCTCTCTCCCTCCTATCTCTCTCTCTCTCTCTCTCTCTCTCTCTCCCTCCCTCTCCCTCCCACCCCTCCCTCCCTCCCTCCCCTCCCGCCCCTCCCTCCTCCCTCCCTCTCTCTCCCTCCCTCCCTCCCACCCCTCCTCCCACCCAAATGTATCAAAAAAAAAAAAACGACCAATACTCCCAAGCACAATTTTAACACACCCCCTAATAACTCTCGCAAACCGTGACACAATGTTAACAACCTGTCTCCCCCCCCCCTCCCCCCTCTTTCCCCGGCACCGCAACCCGAATACCCTAACAACCTGTCTTCCCCCCCCCCACCTTCTTTCCCGGCACCGCAAACCGAATACCCTAACAACCTGTCTCTGTTATCATTATGTTATTCGAATATCCGAATCCCCGACGGTTGTTTAGATAGAGGTTTGGCCGTGATAACAACCCCCTCATATCCGACGGTTGTTTAGATAGATAATAACAACCCCCGTGATAACACCCCCCTTCGTCCTCGGAGGCTGAGCCCACCGGTATAGCAGGGGCTTGCAGATGTTGCAGGAGGAGGACCAGGTGCTTTCAGATGTTGCAGGAGGAGGACCAGGTGCTTTCAGATGTTGCAGGAGGAGCCAGGTGCTTTCAGATGTTGCAGGAGGAGGACCAGGGGCTTGCAGATGTTGCAGAGGAGGACCAGTGCTTTCAGATGCTAATGTGTCTGCTCGGTTCGGACTTCAGGTGACCTCAGCTGCGGTGGTGGGCGGTTCAGCGGCGAATCTGTGGGTGTAGGCTTGGGTGAGGCCAGGGAGAAGGTGAGGGTGGGGGAAGGAGAGGAGAGGGAAAGAGAAAGATGAGAGAAGGGAGGGATAGGGATGTGGGAGGGAGGGAGAAGGGGAAAGAGAGAGGATGGAGAGAGGGAGGGGGGAGGGAAAGGGTGAGGGTGGTGGAGGGAGGAAGGGAGGGAGGGAGAGGAGAGGGAGTGGAGGGAGGAATGGAGGGAAAGGGCAGGCCAGGCGGGGAATTCTGGTTGTAGGCTGGGTGAGGGAGAAGGGAGGGGGTGAGGGTGGGGGTGGGAGGGAGGGAGTGGGGAGTGGGGTAGAGGAGAGGAGTGGGAGGGAGGGACAGAGGGAAAGAGAGAGATGGAATGGAGAGGGAGGGGGGAGGGAGAGGTGTGGGGTGGTGGAGGGAGAAGGGAGGGAGGGAGAGGAGAGGAGTGGAGGAGGAATGGAGGGAAAGGGAGAGGCCAGCGGGGGAATTTCTGGTGTAGGCTGGGTGAGGGAGAAGGGAGGGTGTGGTGGGGTGGGAGGGAGGGAGTGGGATGGGGGTAGAGGAGAGGGAGTGGAGGGAGACAGAGGGGAAGAGAAGAGATGGATGGAGAGGGAGGAGGGAGGGAGAGGGTGAGGGTGGTGGAGAGGAAGGGAGGGGAGGAGAGGGAGAGGGAGTGGAGGGAGGAATGGAGGGAAAGGGAGAGGCCAGCGGGGAATTCTGGGTGTAGCAGGGGTGAGGAGAAGGTGAGGGTGGTGGAGGGAGGGGGATAGGGATGGAGGAGAGAAAGGGAGGAGGGAGAGAGAGTGAAAGAGAGAGATGGATGGAGAAGGAGAGGGAGAGGTGAGGGTGGTGGAGGGAGGAGAGGAGGAGGGGAATTGGGGGAGGTGATGAGGAGAGGGGAGAGGATGGAGGGGGCTGAGGGAAGGATGGAGGGGAGGGAGAGGGGGAGGAGGGAAGAGGAAAGGAAGAGGAGAGGGAGGGAGGGAGAAAGAGGAATGGAGGGAGAGGGATGGAGAGGGATGAGGGAAGACAGAGAAGGAGGGTGAGGGAAGGAGAAAGAAGAGAGGGTAGGGTGAGAGGAAAGATGGAGAGGGAAAAGGCGAGGAAAGGGTTGGAGGAAGGGAGAAAGGGAGAGAAGAGAGAGTGAAGGGAAGAACGAGAGAGACCGAGAAAGTAAAAGATGAAGGGAGAATGAGCAAGGGGCAGATAGAAAAAGAAATAAAGAAGAAGAGAAATTTAAAGAGATGGAAGAGAGAGAGGACACACACAACAAACACACACACACACAACACACACACACACACAGAACACACACACACACACTCACACAATCACACAATCACACACACACACACACACACACACACACACACACACACACACACACACACACACACACACAACACACAACACACACCACACACCACACCACACACACACACACACACACACACACAACACACACACCATACCATCACCCATATAACAAACAAACTAACACCCACCCACACACACCCACACCCTACCCACCTATCACACCCACCCTCACCCTACACTTCGCAAAACACCCTTGCAATATCACCACCATAATATCCCCCGCTACCATAAAACTACCATAAATTTCAGCGCTGCAGTGTTGCCATTCGCGCGTGGCACCATTAAGGAAACTCATTAACCTGCCTGCAGAGGTGTGAGGGCCCACCTGCCGTGACTAGTCCTGCCTTGCAATACCTGGTAGCAACTTGCAACACCTGGTAATAATATCTGGTATCAGCTTATGAGGATGCTTGGGGTTTCCACCTCGTTTTGGTAACATTTGTTTGGTTGGGTTTTAGTTTGGTTGAGTTTAGGGGGGAGGGAGGGAGGGAGGGAGGGAGGAGAGGGAGGAGAGAGGGGAGGAGGGAGAGGGAGGGAGGGAGGGAGGGAGGGAGAGAGAGGGGAGAGAGGGAGGGAGGGAGAGGGAGAGAGGGGAAGGGAGGGAGAGAGAGGGAGGAGAGAGGAGGAAAGAGAGGAGGGAGGGAGGAGGTTGAGGGAGAGAGGGAGGAGGGAGGGAAGGGAGAGGAGGGAGAGAGGGGAGGGGGAGGAGGGATTGAGAGAGGGAGAAAGGGAGAGAGAGAGGGGGAGGGAGGGAGGAGGGAGAGAGAGGGAGAGGGGAGGAGGAGGAGGGATTGAGAGAGGAGAAAGGGAGAGAGAGAGGGGAGGGAGGGAGGGAGGGGAGGGAGAGAGGAGAGGGAAGAGGGGGAGGAGGGAGGGAGGGATTGAGAGAGGGAGGGAGGGAGAGAGGGAGGGAGGAGGAGGGAGAGAGGAGGGAGAGGAGGGGGAGGAGAGAGGGAGAAGAGGGGGGAGGGAGGGAGGAGAGAGAGAGGGAGGGAGGAGAGGAGAGAGGGGGAAGGGGAGAGAGAGGGAGAGAGGGAGAGGGAGGGAGGGAGGGAGAGGGAGAGAGAGAGAGGGGGAGGATGGGGAGAGAGGGGGAGGGAGGGAGAAGAGAGAGAGAGAGAGAGAGAGAGAGAGAGAGAAGAGAGAAGAGAGAGAGAGAGAGAGAGAGAGAGAGAGAGAGAGAGAGAGAGACAGACAGACAGCCAGCCAGACAGAGAGAAAGAAAGAAACACAGACACAGAAAAACAAAACAAACAAACAACCACAAAAAACAACACAACAAACAAACAGAAAATAAACAAGAAAAAAAAAACAAAAAAAAAAAAAAAAAACAACAAACAGGAGAAGAGAAGAAAGGAAAGAAACCAACGAATGAGAGAAGACAGAAATATGCGGAGAATGCGAGGCAGAAACCAAACAAGGAGAAAGTAAGAAAGAAGAGAGAAAGTGGCGAAAATGGATAATAATTCACCCTTCGTTTTGGCTTTTAATTCTTCACCGGCGTTTGGAAGAATAAATTGTGAATGTATTTTGATGTTTTTATTCTCATTATTATCATTATCATTATGATCATCAGTATTATTCATTATTATTATCATCATATCATTATCATTATTATTATTATCATTATCATTATTATTCATTATTATTATTATCATCATATTATCATTATCATTCATTATTATTATCATTATCATCATTATTCATTATTATTATTATCATTATTGTTATTATCATATTCATTATTATCATTATCATTATCATCATTTATTATTATCATTATTATTATTATTTATATCATCATTATCATCATTATTATTATTATTATCATTATTATTATTATTATCATCATCATCATTATTCATTATTACTATCATATCATTATTATTACCATTATCATTTCATTTATCATTACTATCACTATCATTATTATCATAATGATTATCTTTATCACTGTTATTATCCTTATTATCCTTATCATTGCTATGATTATTATTATTATTGTTACTATATATATTATCATTACCATTATTTTTATTATTGCTAATACCATCATCATTATTGTTATCATCATTACCATTATTATTATTATTATTATATTATTATTATTATATATTATCATTATTATTATTATCATTATCCTTATTATCATTATCATTATCACTATTATCAATATTATTATCAATATCCTCTCCTCCTCCTCCTCCTCCTCTCATCATCATCATCATCATCATCCTCATCATCATCATCATCATCATCATCATCATCATCATCATCATCATCATCATCATCGTCATCATTACTGTTATCATCATCATCATTATATTATGACAGCATTATTGTTGTTCTTGTTGATATTGTAATCATCACCATCATCATCATTATCATCATCAATAATACTGTCACTATTTTTTTATCCTTGTCACTATCAATATCATCGCCACTATAATCCACATTCTCATTATTGTAATTGTCATTGTAGTTATCTGAAAATGATTAATGGCGACAAATGTAGAAAAGTTATGAATGAGAATGAATATCTTCACAATACATGAGACATATTTAATTTTTTTAAATTATATCTTCGTCAAAAACACATCAAATACAAAGTCTATACAAAGTGTTATTATCAGTAGTAATAGTGTTGTTATTGTTATTGTTATCATTATTACTATCACTGCCATTATCATTATGATTATCATTATTCAACCATTACTGTTATTATCATTTAATTTCTTATTATTGTTATTATTATTATTATTATTATTATCATTATTATTATTATTATTATTATTATTATTATTATCATTACTATTATCATTATTATTACTATTATTATAATCATTATTATAATCATTATCATCATCTTTATTATCATTATTACTATTATTATCATTATTATCATCATTGATTAATCATTATCATTATCATTATCATTATCATTATCTTATTGCATTATCATTATCATTATCATTCATTATATATCATTATCATTATCATTATCATTATCATCATTATCATTATCATTATCATTATCATTATCATTATCATTATTATTATTATCATTATTGTTATCATCATTGTTATTATTACTCTTATAATTATCATAATTATTATTGTTATAATTATCATAATTATCATTCATTATCATTATCATCATTATACAAGATCCACAGACTGCTTATCACATAAACAGATACTAAAAAAAAAAAAAAAAAAACTACCTTCAAAATTCACTTAATAAACCTTTAAGCTATGCAACAAAACGGACCATTTATCTCGTCAAAACAATCCTACTGTCACAAAGTTAAACAAACTTTCACAAGTATAGTTTAAAAGTTTAAAGTTTCTATCCTTGACGTGTTGATTTCTTGTTTGTATGTTTGCTTAGTTAATAAATAGAAACTTTTATTATTGATAATATGTATATAAATAGATAGCGAAGTTTATACCATGCAACAAGGTACTAAATTTGGGTAAAGGACTAAATTTTAAGGAAAGTACGAATTATAGGTAAATATATAAGTATAATATTGTAAGTAGAATAATGAAATGAAGTTAAGAACTAAATTACAAGTTCAGTAATAAATCTAAGAATAGTAATTGTAAGTAAAAAAAAATTAAGAATAGTAATTGTAAGTAAAAAATCAAATTTTAAGAATAGTAATTGTAAGTAAAATATTAAATTTAAGAAAAGAATATATGTATAAGTTAAGAAAATAATAGATTTGTAAGTAAATTACTAAATTGCAAATGGAATAATGAAAGGAAATAAAGAACTAAATTGAAAGCTAAGTAATAGATTTAAGATTTAATAATAATAATAATAATAATAATAATAATAATAATAAAAATAATAATAATAATAATAATAATAATAATAATTAGTACGTGAAGTACTAGGTTTAAATAAGTAGCTAGATTATAAGTAAAATACTAGATTTAAGTAAAGTATAGATTTGTAAGTAGAATATTAAATTTAAGTAAAGAATATAATCGTAAGTAGACTACTAAATTTAAGTAAAGAATAGATTTGTAAGTAAAATACTAAATTTAAGTAAAGAATAGACTTGTAAGTAAAGAACTAAATTGTAAGTAGAATGACAAATCTCAGTAAACACATTTAAGTAAACCAAACTGTAAGTAAAGTACTAAATATAAAAATAAAATAAAATTCCAAGTAAAGTACTAAATTTAAGAAAATAACTAGATTATAAGTAAAAATATTATATATAACATACATATATACTTATAGATATACTTAATATATATATATAATAATACTTAAATATATATAATATATATAATACTTAAATATATATAATATATACTACTATAATACTATATATAATATATAGTATACTTAAATATACTTAAATATACTATGCTTAAATATATATACTTAAATATATATATACTTAATATACTTAATATATACTATACTATAAATACATATAATATACTTAAAATACTTATAAAATAAATACATAAATAGAATACTAAATACAAATATAATATCGTATCATAGGTATACTACTAAAAAAAATATGAATTATTAAACAGCAAGAAAATAGTGCCAGATAGTAACGACAACACAGGAGTGCCAAGCTCATCTACCCAGGGTGCCACATTTCACCTTAGCTTGAGGGCCACTTGGCATGAGGTGACGTGAGTGACGTGACGAGTCGGTCGTTGGGTTGACGTGAAAACAAACAAACAAATAAACAAAAAGAAAAAATAGAGGAAGATGTTTTGTTTATGACATAAAGTTGATCATAAATGAATAAAATTGTTTGTAAGTGTGAAAGTGATAATCAAAAAAAAAAAAAAAATGGGAAGAGGCTGTTTCATTCATTCAAATAAACAAAAAATGATAATATAAACAAAAGACAAAAACAAACAAACTTATAAGTTAAGTAATAATATTAAAAACAAAAAAAAACGGAAGAGGATTTTTTTCACTACAAAAAAATCGATAAAAAAAAACAAAAGATAACAAACAAACAAAAAAAGCGGAAGAGGATTCATTTATTACAAAAAATGATAAAAACAAAAAAAATAAAAAAAAAAAACGGAAGAGATTTTTCTTTCATTACAAAAAATCGATAAAAAACAAAAGATACACACGAACAAACAAACAAACAAACAAAAAAAGCGGAAGGATTTTTCATTTATTACAAAAAATCGACAATTAAAAAAAGTGACAATCATAAAAAAACGAAAAGGATTTTTAATTCATTACAAAAACGCAATAATAAGAAAGAAAAAAAAATGAGAATTAATAATTAATAAAATATAAGAATTAAATTGAGAATCTTAAAAGACAGAAAGACTAGTTTAATGAATAACTAAAAAGTACACAAACAACCAATTAAATAAAGTACTTTTTCTACCTCACAGTACACCAGCTTGAGAAAGTGTATTACATATAACGAAATATTAAACGTAAAAATATGTAAAACAGAATAATATTCACTGAGACAAATGTAGAAAAAAAATAAATTAATGAAAATTAATTAATAATTAATTAAAAAATCATTTTTATTCTTAACGTTTTCTTCATATGACAGTAATGATAGTAATAGTAATAATAATAATGATAACAGTAATAATAATGATAACAGATAATGAATAACCCAGTAATGATAATGATAATGATGACGATAATGATAATAGTGATACTGCTACCACTGCTAATCATGATGTTAATGATAGTGATAATAGTAATGATAATCATGATAATATTGATAGTAATAATGATAATGATCTGATAATAATAATATGGAAGTGATAATAATAATAGCGATAATATATGATAATAATAGTAATAATAATAATAATATAATAATATTAATAATAATAATAATAATATAATAATAATAATAATAATAATAATGATAATAATTAATAATAATAATAATAATGTAATAATAATAATAATAATAACATAATAATAATAATAATAATAATGATAATAAATAATTAATAATAATAATGATAATGATAATGATAATGATAATGATAATGATAATGATGATAATGATATACTTTTCAGCTTCATCCATGTTATTCGAGTTATTCTGTTCTGCAGATCAGTTCGTACACTTATAACTGTTCTTACTTCCATTCTTGAACAAATTTTGATACATTTTATATAAGACAATAACATTCGATTACCATATTATATTAAAAGTTTATGATATAAAGGGATTGTTAATTTTTATTATAATTAATGAGACAATTCACAATTTTATTTTATTTTTGCTAAAACTTATGATAAAAACCCGTAGAGTTTGACCAAAAAAAACTTCATTTTGCCATCAATATGAAAAAGAAAAAGAAAAAAAAAATATACAAAATATTGCAATGTTGTTTTTTAAAGTCTTTATTTATACGTCTATCTATTTGCAAGTGCAATATGCATGATATATACATACAGGTAAGTTAAATCCTATGTACCTTTTGAAGTCTGCAATGCACGACCTACCGTTTGCAACATTTTTTTGCACACTCTTTGTTGCATCTAATCAATTTCTTGTTACATGTTCTGTACGTTGTCTAAACCTCATTGATTTATGTACATGACTTTGTTTAAATCTTTTTCTTTTTTTGGGCTGAAATGGGTTTTTGTTCGATGCAAAATGTTTGTAGATGTTGATAAGTGTTTCAAGAGGACCAATACGAGTATTATGGAAGGATGTATGAACGTGTGTGTGTGTGTGTGTGTGTGTGTGTGTGTGTGTGTGTGTGTGTGTGTGTGTGTGTGTGTGTGTGTGTGCGTGCGTGTGTGCGTGCGCATAATGGCACGGTCAATGAAAATTGTCAAACCATTTTTATATTGATTTACCTTTTCATTTCTACTTTTTTTTTCTTTTTTTTTACTTTATTCAGGCATAATAAAACGAGACAGAAAGCTGACAATGGAAACCTTATTATCAATATAATCATTGTTATTATCATTATCATTATCACTATCACTATCATTATCATTATTATTACCATCGTCATTACTGTATCATTTTTGTTGCTACTCCTACAACTATTACTATCATTATAATTAATACTATTATTACTATTATTATATCCATTATCCTTATTATACCATTATTATCATTATCAATATAATTATCATTTTATTGACATAACCATTACTATTACCAGTATCATTATTGTTTTCATTATGATTATCGTTACTATCATCATTATCATTATCATTATTACTATAATTATTATGATCATTATCATTATCATTATTACTATAATTATTATGATCATTATCATTATCATTATTATCATTACTTCTACGACTACTATTACCATTACCATTGATGTTATCATTTTTAATATCATATTATTTATTATTAGTCATCAATGCTTATCATTATTATTATTATCATTGTCATCATTATCATCACCATCACATCATTATCATAATCATTATTACTGCCACTAACTCCATCATCATAATTACTATCATACCATCATATAATTTGCATTTATAAAATATTATCTATACCTCCCCGCTTATATAATATTCAGCAATTACAACAACCATATAATAATAATAAATGATAATTGATGGTAATAATGATAATAATAATAATAATTGATATAATAATTATAATAATAAAATATAATATAATAAATAATAATAATAATAATAAATAATAATAATAATAATAATAATAATAATAATAATAATAATAATAATAATAATAATAATAATAATAATAATAATATAATAATAAATAATGTAATAAATAATATGATAATAATAATAATAATAATAATGATAATATGATAATAATGATAATAATAATAATAATAATAATAATAATAATAATAATAATAATAATAATATAATAATAATAAATAATAATAATAATAAATAATAAATAATAATAATAATAATAATAATAATAATAATAATAATAATATAATATATAATAATAATAATAATAATAATAATAATAATAATAATAATAATAATAATAATAATAATATAATAATAATAATAATAATAATAATAATAATAATAATAATAATAATAATAATAATAATAATAATAATATAATAATAATAATAATAATAATAATAATAATAATAATTATAAAAATAAAAAGAAAAAAAATTATATCAAATGTTCTCCTGTTATCACCCAAGCAACCACAATGAGTGCAACTGTTCTTCAACATCATCATGCAGGCCATATTGTCATGCGCTGTCATAATGTTGTTGACACGATTTTGTGAATTCTAATTGTCATAAAGTCTAGATTGATAATTTCATTTTTTGTGGTCTATGTCTATTTATTGTTGTTGTTGTTTGTTGTTATTGTTATGGTCTATGTATATATATTTTATTATTATTGTTTGTTATTTTTGTTATCATTTTCATTGGTGTTATTATCTTTGTTTAAGCTTTTATTATCATTATTGATAGTGTGATTATTATCGTTATTATCTTTTATTATCATCGTCATCATCATCGTAATTAATATCATATTTCATCATTATTGCTAATCGGTTTCTTTAAAATTCAGGAATATTTGAAAATGTGTGTGGTGAAGTGTGTGTGTTGGTGTGTGTGTGTGTGTGTGTGTGTGTGTGTGTGTGTGCGTGTGTGTGTGTGCGCGCGTGTGTGTGTGTGTGTGTGTGTGTTTGTGTGTGTGTGTGTGCGTGCGTGGTGTTGTGCGTGTGTGTGTATGTGCAAAAGAATAACCCCTCCGCCCTCTTTCTGACCCCGCCCACGAGAGCGCCGCCCGCGCCGATCGATCATTCACCGTAAATAAACATCACCTCAGTTAACCCTTTGCTCACTTGCTATTCAGAATCCTCTTCGACACAGACTGCAACTTGCAAGGAGGCGCTGCTGCAACTTTCAACGCTGCTCCAGGTAAAGAATGGCAATTATTTTTTGTTTTTTTTTACTTTTTTTACTTTCCTTTCAAGATATATTCATGTGTATATATTATATATGTATATATTTATCTGTCTATTTATTTATCTGTTTATCTATTCATCTATGTATGTATCTCTGCTATCTATCTATCTATCTATCTATCTATATCTATCTATCTATCTATCTATCTATCTATCTATCTATCTATCTATATCTATCTATCTATCTATCTATCTATCTATCTATCTATCTAATTATATATTTATATATTATATATATGTATGTTTATATGTGTGTATGTATGTATGTATGTATGTAAATGTATATGTACATATGCACACATATATACATGCAAACATAATAATGATAATAATCAAAATTATGATACTAAAGATAATGCTAATAACATCAATGATAATGATAAATTAATAAATGGAGAGAGACGACAATAAAGGGAGGAAGAAAGACAAAATGGCAAACAACATTATTAACAACAAAACTAAACAAACAATGAAACAACAACAACATACAACATATAAACCAAACAACAAACAAACAAGAAATCGCGAGAAATGAGCAACAAAAATGTAAACAAAGACAAAGTCAAACAAACAAACAAATCCAAACAACAAGCAACAAAAAAATTAACTTCGAAAACACAACAAACAAACACGAAAATAAACAAAGACAATCAAGCAACAACCGATAAACAAGAAAAACATAAGCAAACAATAAACAGATAATCAACAAAAAACAATGAATAAACAAATACATGAATATAAACAAAAACAAGTCAATAAAAGCAAAACAAGAAACATAAACAACTAATTTACAACCGAAACAAGTAATAAACAAAATAAACAACTACAAACAAAAGCAAAAACAAACAAACAAACAAACAACCAGAAAAACAACTTTATAAACAAACAAAAAAACAAAATACAACCGATGAAATTAATATGCAAATACCATCATAGTTATTTGTTATCAATATCATTATCTCTATCATTGTATTTATTTATGATTATTTTTATCATCATTATTTTCATTATAATTTTTATGATTTTTTCCTATTATCATCATTTATCATTATAGTTATCAATATATCATTATCACTATGACTATTATATGATTTCTATTATCATGATTATCACTCATGTTATCAATTATTATCATTATCACCATTTATATTATCATTATTGTTATCGACATACCTTTGACTTGTAATTGTTCTTGTTATCATTATCACTTCCATTATCATTATCATCATCATCACTATCATTGTTTTTCATATCATCCTTGTTGTTATATTTGTTATCATCATCTCATCATTATTCATCACTATCATTGTTATTATGTATGATTATCGATTTTACTTTATCATCATTATTATTCCTTATATGATTATTAATCTTATCATTATTGTTACTATTAATGTTATCATTACCATTGGATCATTAACATTATTATCATATTAGTAATATCATTATTATGGTTATTGATATTATCATTATTTTGTATTATTACTTTGATTATTATAACAATAATTATTATCATTCCTTAGTATTATATTATCATCATTGTTCTTAATCATTATCATTTTTATTCTATTTTTTTCATATATATCCTTACTGTCATTAGTATTATCATTTATTACTATCGTTATCGTTATCATTATTGCCTTTCCTTCGACACCATCATCACCATCATCTCACATCATCACTATTATCACCACCACAATCCAAATCAACTTTCACCATCAGTGCCAAGTGCCAAGAGAGCCAAACATGACCTGAGTGACGCCTAGGAGTCTACAAACAGTGACGAACAGTGTCCATTCGGCACTGTAATACGAGGCACTGGGGGTCGTGACCTGACCTGACCTCCACACTCCTCGGGGTTAAAAACAAGTGCATGTAGTGGGTAGTGGATTTTAGGGGTATGGTGGGTGGGGATGTATAGTGAGAGTATACTATGTGTTTGTTTTATATTTGGTTTCTATTCACTTCTACTCGATCTCTCTCTCTAGTCATCTCTCTCTCATCTCTCTCGTCTCTCTCTCTATATCTCTCTCTGTCTCTATTATATATAGTATTATATACAGAGATAAGGTATTATATATATATATAATTATATATTATATTATCTAATATTTACTACGCTAGATATAGTAGATATATATAATGTACAATAGTATTAGTATGTATATACATATTAGATACATGTATATGTAGTATATAGTATCGGTGAGATGAGTTTATATG